AAAACTGTGCCCTTTCTCATCAAGGGGAAAGCACTGTGAATCAGAAGGCCTAATAAACAATCTGCTAATAGTGGATAGAATGGCATGCAGGAATCAGGGACGGAGTAGAGAGATGTCAGCACAGGATTCTGCAGTTCTCCTTACTGCTGCTTCAAAAGGGAGTAATAAGAGCCATCACTACCTCACAAACTCAAGCAAGGACAGTGGGCCAGGTCAGAATACTCAGCTCACATGATGATCAGTATGATACAAATATTGAGATAAACAGAAAGTCTGTGTGGCTGAACATGTCCCTCAGAGCAGTGGCAACTAGCCAATCCCCTTTCTAGCATTCAAATGAGTGCCATGGCTGTACGCTACCCTGCTTCTGCATAGGTGCATTAAGGCAGTGCTTCCCAGCCAGGACTACACATAAACTTAAGTATACCTTGACTTTAGCAAAGCTTTTGATATGATCTCCCACAATATACTTGCCAGCAAGTTAAGGAAGTATAGATTGAATAAATGGACCATAAGGTGTATAGAAAGCTGTCTATCCAATGGGTAGTGATCAATGACTCGTTGTCTGGCTGGCGGTCGGTTTAAAGTGGAATGCCCCAAAGATCAGTTCTACGGCCGGTTTTGTTCAACATCTTTACAAATAACCTGGATGAGGGGTGGATTGCACCCTCAGTAAGTTTGCAGATGACACTAATCTAGGGGGAAAGGTAGATACATTGGAGGGTAGGGGCAGGGTCCAGAGTGACCTGGACAAATTTGAGGACTGGGCCAAAAGAAATCTGATGAGGCTCAACAAGGACAAATGCAGAGTCCTGCACTTAGGATGGAAGAATTCCAACATGTTACAGGCTGGGGACTGAATGGCTAAGTAGCAGTTCAACAGAAAAGGGTCTGGGGATTACAGGAGATGAGAAGCTGGATATGAGTCAACAGTGTGCCCTTGTAACCAAGAAGGCTAATGGCATATTAGGGTTCATTAGGAGGAGCATTTCCAGCAAATCTAAAGAAGTTATTATGACCCTTTATTCAGCATTGGTGAAACCACATCTGAAGTATTGAATCCAGTTCCGGGTCCCCCCACTATAACAAAGATGTGGATGCATTGGAGAGGGTCCATCAGAGGGCAACCAAAATGATTAGCGGGCTGGAGCACATGACCTACAATGACAGGCTGAGGAATTTGGGCTTATTTAGTCTGCAGAGGAAAAGAGTGGGGGAAGGGAGAAGGGTGTTGATAGAAACTTTCATCTTCCTGAAGGAAGGTTCCAAAGAGGATGGGGAAAGGCTGTTCACCGTTGTGACGGATGGCAGAACAAGAAGCAATGGTCTCAAGCTACAGTGGAAGAGGTCTAGGTTGGATATTAGGAAAAACTATTTCACTAAGAGGGTGGTGAAGCACTGGCATGGGTTACCTAGGGAGGTGGTGGAATCTCCATCTGTAGAGGTTTTTAAATCCTGGCTTGACAAGTGGGGATTGCTCCTGCTGTTGGCAGGGGGCTGGAGTTGATGACCTCCTGAGATCTCTTCCAGCCCTAGGATTCTATGATTCCCCTGGGAGGCATGCAAAGGTCTTTCAGAGTGCACATCAACTCCTCTAGATATTTGCCTAGATTTACAATTGGCTACATAAAAAGTAGTAGCAAAGTCAGTACAAATTTCATACAACAATTTGTTCAGTATACTACAGATTGGACCTCCCTGGTCTTTCACCCTTGGGAACTGATAGTCCCGAACAAGGGAGTTTGCCAGACCATGGGAGGTCAGTCTTCTGGGCTCTTGGGAGGGAGGTCCCAGCCTTTCTACTGGTCTTGCCTCCCTGGCCCTGGGCTTTGCTCTTCTCAACCCTTCCTTCTCCGCTGCCCCTGGCATGCCAGACCAGCTCTACTCCCAGCCACCAGCAACCTCTGCCACTGGGGCTTTCTGGTCCAGAGGCTCTCTAGACCAGCAACAACTGGACCATGCATGTTGCTGGACCAGAGAGTCCTGAAACAGAGAGGTTCAAACTGATTTATTCAGATATGTAAGTACAATATTTATATTCCTGTTGATTTATTTTATAATTTTATGGTAAAATGAGAGAGGAAACTTTTTTCAGTAATAAAATGCTGTGTGGCTTTTGTAGTTTTGTCTTAGTTTTTACATGAAGTGAAACTTGGGGCTATGCAAGACAAGTCAGACTCCTGAAAAGGTTACAGTGATCTGGAAAGGTTGAGAGCCACTGCATTAAGGGAAGAAAGAGGATTTTGTTATTGATTTAAATATCCTGTGCCTATATGACAAATGGGAGAGATGGAAATGCCTTTTTAACTTATGAGTACAGAAGCATGGTAGCTACAAGGCTGTTAATATCCACTACTTTAACCATGATTATTCTTGATTACTCACAAACTCGTCTGCTTTCCTGCATAATGATCAACCAGCAGTGTTAGAACATCATTGTCACATGTACACCTTGTCTTCAGACATGCAAAGCACAGTGCTCACAGACTTCTGGTATTTCAGGCCCCAATGCCCAGCTCTTCTTTTTCTTAACTACATCATACTATTATGTTCAAGCCCTGTGCAAAAATTATGATTGTGTCTAAAAGCAAGACACTGTTTTAATAGGAAAGGATTATTATACTGTGTGCTAGGCACTTTTAGGATTTTAGCAATTTACTGATAAGAGCAGGAAAAACGTGCTCATTAAAGACAGTTACAGAATAAGACTCATCTACACAGAATGGGGGAGAGAGGAATGATTAATTTAATCCAGTGAGCATTGGGGGGGGGGGAATAGTGACGATTCAAAGGAGTAAGAGCGAATGACCCTCTAATCCTGTGGGTGCCCTAAGATCTATGTGGAACGCCACAGATCTCTGGCATGTCTGAATCCTTCATGCTGCTCTGTGGGCCACTCTAACAATCCAGTTCAATCGGGAGTTATCCTATGTATGTGTACTGTCCCTTCGCTAACAAGGTAGATGCCAGAATGAAGTTAATGCTGGGTAGAGTAACTGTCCCTAGGCCTTTGGTCATATGTCCTTAGCTTCAGTTTTGCAGAGGAATTTCTTCTATCTTGAAATACAGGTTGTAAGAGTAATCTCTCCCATTGTCCTTTGCATATTTACTAGACAAGTTTGACTGGTATTTTACCTAATTTTATTCCAGCTGCACTTCACTCTGCTGTATTTCTTTGAAGGTGGGAGGGGAACGGTATTTACGCTTAACCTGTTGGTAAATCCCTGGCTCCGTCTACACTGCACTATAGCTGGAAATAAAATATGCAATCTGAGTTATGCAAATTGCATATCTTATTTTGATCCTTATTTCAAAATAGCTTATTTTGTAATTTGGAGCTGTCTACACAGCACCAAATTTCAAAATAACCCGCTATTCAGAAACATCCCTTGCTTCTCATGGAATGAGGTTTTCAGGGACATTGGAATGGTGAACCTGAAATAATGGTCTTGCTGTTAAGATGTGAGATAGTTATTTCGGGATACTGGGGTATCTCAAAATAGCATTGCAGTGTAGATGTAGCCCCTGTGTACCAGGAGTACTGCCACTTTGTACTCTACTCTGCTTTTTTCATTTTGCAGATCTTCCTATAGGAATGGTTTTCAAAGTTACATGTTTGAAATATGTGGTCAGTGTTCAGCCAATAGTAAATCCTGTAACAAGGGGCTATGTTAAAGTGGTTTCTGTTTAATCCAAAATTCCTTGTACTGGCCTCTAGTCATTTCAGTGCAATCTCTATTCTGATTGTCTTCCCCACAGTGAATATTATTAGCTGATGCATAATTATTTATGATGGAAAATCAAAGAAAGACTGGGCATAAATTTGCACAGATAATCCTCTGATGGGATTATCTTTTCCACCATTTAGCAAAACTTTCACATCACAAATAGAAGCCAATAGTATCTAATGTCAGCTCTATAGTGTCTGGAAATAAAGGTTAGTGAGAGGGTGTTAGGATAAGCAATGTCAGAGTTCTAATCCCTGCTCTATCACTG